GAGAGAGAGAGAGAGAGAGAGAGAGAGTAGTAGGTAAGTTATATAGTAATAAGAGAGAAAGGAAGATATATGCGTAATGAGAGAGAGAGAGAGAAATGGGGAACGTGAGAGAGACAGGGGTATTGGTTAATTTATATTGCCTATAAAAAAGATAAAAAGAAAATAGGATGTAATGTTAAGATATGTAGTGTTTGTTATACCTTTTCCATGGTTCGGTTCGTATTTTTCCCTTGATGATCATCCTAATAACCCCAAATCAATACTATTATTTGTGATAAGATATCCTATTATCTTAATACAACAAACACTCAGACACAAGACAAGTTCTCAATATTTATATATTTTTGTAAAAATAAAAAAAAACCATAGCGCAATACCATTATTTTTTTGGAACTTAAAAAGACTAGATTTTAAAGAAATTTTAGTGATTTTTTTGAAATGCTTTTGAGGCCGAAACTAGCTGATAGGAACGATTATTCGATCCAGATCACCAATTCGCGATTCGACCCGGTTTTGGGGGTGGTCGATCAGGGTCAACAATCCGTTTTTTTGAAACCTTGCCCGACACTATCCATTTGGCTAAAGGTATTAGTATTTACAATTAGAAAGGAAGCTAGAATTTACTTTAGTTTTAAAAATTGGACTGGAATGGCTGTCCGACCGGTAGAACTCGCGAGCAGAACCTTCTCTGGTCTGATGGAAGCCTTAAGATTTACATAGAATCAGTCGAAACTGGCATTTGACTGTTTGAACAGGTTCGATCACAAGTTTTGTTGGTTCTAATGGGCTATCTGATTTTGGGAAAGTTGAATTTAGCCCATATTTTTAAAATTTATTGCAAAATATTTATGAGACCTTATACTTTCTTTCCTTGCTTTCATTTTGATTGCATTGGAACTTTTTATTGCCGAATACTGTTCTTAAAGATTGTGATAAAAAAGAAACCATACCTTGCTTTCCTTTTTGAAAAAATAGAAAGATCAAGTTTGTTAAAAGTCGTTCCTTTTTTTTTCATCATTTTGTTGTTGACAGCTCATTAAAATTTGAGTAGGATCTATTCCTTTTTGCATGATAATATTTTAAACCTCTACATTAGTTTGGGAAGAAAATTTATTTCAAACATAACATCTTTGTGTAATAGTTTTATTAAAATGGAGTAAAATGTATTTCTTTTTTATGTCAATTTTTTAAAAATTGGTTAAGATAACTAACTATAGAAAGCTAAACAAAACATTATTGCATTGGAGTTCATTTAAAATGAGCAAAATTATGATTGGTTTTACCTGTTCTATTCAACTAATTTTGGAAATGCCAATCACTTTTAACAACATTTCATTGGTTTTACCTTATGTATTTCTATGTTTTATTAAATTTTTCTAGTGATTTTCTAATATTTTATATTGAAAAAGAAAAGGTCCTACAGGTCTGAGTGTTGGTTGGATAGTTTTTGACTGGACCAGTCCCTTCGATGGTTTGAGCATTGATCCGATCCTGTTAACATTGGTATTTACTTGAAGGAGTTATTTATGATGAGTTTTGTAGTGGATTTTTGAAATTGCTTTTTGGTGCATACTCCAAGAGAAATATTGCTAGTTCCTTTACTTGATGTTAGCCACTGTGTTTCATGTGATGCATTGTTCAATGAGGGATCTTCTTTTTTGCTAGTTGCATGTGGAAATGTTCACACCATTGTGAGGGAGTTGAGATCCATTTTGGGTGTCAAGCAAGTTGGTGGTCTTTTGACTTCTCATTGCAATAGAGATGGAATCTCATCCACGCATGTTCTTTCCAATATAGAAGCCAATTTCCCCCACTTGCATTTTCATTGGATTTATTAGATGGAATTGCCTTTGTCAAGGCAAGGCCAACCATTTGTATCTTGCCTCTCACCTTGTTGAGAGGTGAGCTGTTATGGCTCTGCCATACAAGACTCTAATTTTTGTGCTGTTATTAACTTATTATTAACATTCACATATATGATAAGTGGTTACGTATCTGGTTGTATTGATTGTCGACAAACAACAATTTACAAGATAGAGAAATAAAAAGTTAGAAAATGAAATAATGCCAAAGAAAGAGGGGAAAGGGAAAGGAAACCCATTGTGGACTAACACAAGGAGAAAGTAATGCTAATGGAGGGAGGAAGGGTGATAAAAAGGTCCGGGTTAAAGAAGGGAGAGGAATTGGTTACAAGGGAAGGGTAAAACTATCCTTGCGGAAATTGGTAAATTCACATGTCAGAAATGAATTTCTCATCACTTCCATGTGGTTTGGGCCTCTGGGGCCCATGTCTTCGAGTTGGCCTCACTTATGCTCCAAAAGGAAATTGGTCTCATAGAGCCTGTGAAATAGGTACATCTGTTGTAATTGCGTGCATTGAATATACTAAAAAGATATTTTTTTTTTAGAAAAATGCACTATGCAAATGTTGTCCTCATTGTTGCATTTATGTGGGATTATAAATCTTGGATTCTTGAGATTGTCATTGGACCAATACGGTTATTTCTATGGGTTGCAATTCTGTCTTCTCCATATTTTTCCAGTCTGAAATCTCATATTCACCCAGGCATAGAGGTTGCATCACACATGGTCCCTAGAAGATCACTTTCAGTGCACTGTGCTGCGGTTTTGATGCTAGAGATAGACTAACAGATGAGCATGTCCATTACATTTGTGCAAAATTTGAAATCTCTTGCTTTGGAGCAATAATTGCTTCCAGATGAAAGAGTGTAG